TGAACTTTTAAAACAAAGACAAAATTAACCCCTGATGGAACTCTTAACTTTATTATATGATAAACTGTAAAGATAGTTGTTTATGTAAATGCTGAATTTAAATATCTTGTAAAGATGATGATTGTATTATAGAAAATGTGACTATATATTATAGAGTTCATACGTTGACAAAAATCAGTGCTTTACAGTGTCTTGTACTGTCTGCGGTTAAATTATTTGTGCAATATTTAAAAGTTTTCTTTTTAAAATCATCCAGTTATTTAAGTTTTTACTAAACAGTGGACCATTTTACTCGTAAACAGCAGCAGAGTGGATGGTTGAATGTTACCTTATGAGACAGCATTGGAAGGCATGAGTTTTATTAAGCAGCCCTTGATTTATAATCTCTTTATTCATAAAAATGACATTAGAAGTCTTTTTTAAAATGTTTTGAATGTTTTTTTCTAAAATCTTATCAAATAATTTTCAATAACAGAAAATAGCAGTAGCTTTCTGTCTGAAGCCTAATTAGTAGATATTTTTATGAAGGGAAAATCTCAGATTTGTACTTTCAAGTTCTGAACATGTTAGGATGATAATTCTCTCTTCTTACACCAACTTACATTAGTATAATGACTGTTTGACACCAGGTCCTTGAAGCAATGTGAGACTGTGAGCTGAAAGTTTATAATTACAGCTTCATCTTGCATATTGTCTCATGAGTTGTCTAGAAACAGCAGGCCTGCTTGTAACACTAAATGTGTTTAACTTCTAACACCAGAAATCTGAACTCTTCAATGTTTGTTCTAGGGTCAGATAGAGTAGTTAAAGCAGTAGGTGAAAAGAATGTAGAAAAATTCAATTTTTTTGAAATTAAATAATTGCTTCTGCTGTCCTGTAAGTCATTCCTTGTAAAGAAAAAGATTTATAGACTTCTGAAAAATGTACTGTGACTTAATATAGTTCTCAAGCTGGTCTCCAGTGGCTGCTAAGTATTTCTCATGCTGTTCCTAAAGTAAGGTATTGGTCAAAGATCATCCACATAGCTTGACATTCAGCTACGTTTTGGGTCATGTTAGAGGAAGCTTTTGAATTGGACCCTTGGGAATGCTGAGAATCAGAGGAAGCAGCTTGCTTCTTCCTCTCGGCGTTCCATACCACGAAGATTTCACTACATCTTGGAATTTTAGCAGCAGTAGACTGGTAGACATGAAATATTTTGTAGTTGAAATTTTTTGCTTATCGTACCATTATCTCCATTGAGAGAGGTTTCTTTTGCATCTGTGTGCAGTGTAGTTTGTGTTAGAGAACTCTGTTCCTGCCTGGTGTTCAGTGGATTGAAAGAGAGGAAGAATGGGAACACAGGAAAACCTAATACCACGTTTCTGTATAGGTGAGGAGTTTATCTCTGCTTGTTAGAAAGGTTAATGTCTGGAGTTTCACAGGCAAGGTAATGTCAGATTCAGATAAATACTTTGAGTATTTCAGTAAAACAATAGAATAAGAACACTAAAAATAGTCTTAACTCCCAGTCTGTATCAGAAATTTTAATTGCTTTATTAAATACTAAAATACAGGCTTTTTTCTTTCCCTTCTCTCTCTCTCTCTCTCTCTCTCTCTTTTTTTTTTTTCCTCTATTGGAAGGTAGGGAAGATTTTTAGTTTCATTTTGGAAACTAAGCTGAAATTTTTTTTTCTCAAAGACTAAAAATTAACCCTTTCATATTGAAGTTTTCTTGTTTGCTTTAAGTTTAAAAAATGTGCAAAACAAAGTAAGCTCTACTTGTTGGAACTTAATAGTTTTGAATTAAAACAGGCTAGATTATGACATGCAGGTGTTAGAAATTAATTTTTAATAAAGCAACATTTTAGGAAGGTTGAATTTTAGGGTGCCAAATAGTTTATTTTTTTGGAAAAAAGTTAAGCAGTTTTCTATTGCAGTGAATCAATAAATTGTTCTTCACTGTAGGTTTTTTGGTTTGTGTTTTATTGGTTTGTTGGTTTGTGAAAAAAATACAATCTTGAAAGAAAAAGGGAAGATTTCAAAAAAAATAAGGAAACTTTTATTTAAATATAATACTGCCAGTGGTTTCTGAAGATGATGTTTCAGGTGTATGCGTAGGCACTTTTTGAAAGGCTGATAGAGATACAGTTTTCAATTTATGCAAATGTATTTGGTTTTTCAGGAAGAGCTTAGGTAAATTAGAAACTGCATTAACCGTTTTAGATATAAAAGCACTTGTTGGATATAATAGATTTTTAAACACTGAAGAAGAAGATGTAGATACATAAATTTGACTATTTTTCAATTCTTTATTCCCTTTCAGTGCAACCTTTTTACTAGTGCATCAGAATCAAGTGGCTTATTGCATCTTAATCATCAAAGCCTTAGAAAACAAAGTAGCTGTTGGAAAGTAGCCTAGACTTCTAATTATTCTCTGTTTTGATTATCTTTCATTATACTTCTGGTATGCTTGTTTTGAAGAAACATTAACATGTGTAGGACACTTTAAGTTCTTTGCTGTTACTGAAATGGCCTAGAAAAGTGATAGGTGCAGAAGGGAAGGGTTTAACTCAGAAAAGTGATGCCCACTTCCACTTGGATTTATTATTTTAAAATACTCTCTCGTTTCAAGCACGTAATTTATACCTTATTTTCACTGCAGAGGCAAATAGGAAGAAAAATAGGAAGAAATATCATTTTAAGACCTACTCCAACTGTCTTGGTCAAATGAGGCATATTCTATATTCTAGGGAAGATGGTGGGAAATGAAAATCTGCCATTAATGTTGATGGGTTTTGGATGAGTTGGGCTACTTGCACGCTCACTTCTTTGGGTATTGGGTTGGCTGCTTTATGATCAAAGGAGCCAGAGTTCAAAATCCCACGTAACTGCACATGAAAGGAACAGTTTTTATTGATTTTTTTTTTTTTTTGGTCTTGTTAGACAGGTTTGTTACAATTTGTGTAAGTATGTTTTGCTAAGGGCTTTAGCTAGTTGAATATGAAACAAAATGGATTATTGCACAGTGAAAATGGAATCCTTGGTGTTTCTAGTTGTAAAATGTGTATAAACTGTATAAAGCATGGGTCAGGGTAAAATAAACTTTTATGCTAATAGTGTGCTCTGCTTTTCTTTTAACACAGATCAGGTTGTTACAATTTGTGTAAGTATGTTTTGCTAAGGGCTTTAGCTAGTTGAATATGAAACAAAATGGATTATTGCACAGTGAAAATGGAATCCTTGGTGTTTCTAGTTGTAAAATGTGTATAAACTGTATAAAGCATGGGTCAGGGTAAAATAAACTTTTATGCTAATAGTGTGCTCTGCTTTTCTTTTAACACAGATCAGGAGATCTTTGGAGGGTGTTTTGTTGTGCTTTTGTGTGTGAACTTAGCCTTGCTGTGGTTGGGAAGGGCTGTTGGCTGTATGAATATACTTAAAATCTAACTGAAGTTACGCTGGATATTTTGTGGGTGTTTAATTGCAGGGGCTCGATTTAGTCGTAAGTTCCCTGCAGTAATGGGATTAAAGCAGGTTTCCTTTATTTGTAGAATAGCTGTATCTGGTATCCTTATGTCACTGCGGTGGGATGAAGGCCTGTTCAGCCACTCATGTATGTGTGGGAGCAGGGAGAGCCCTGATCCCTGCAGCTTTCCTGAGGGAGGCCGGACATTCCTCCCCTGGGAATCATCCCTTCCCTCCTAGCGGGCCCTGAGGCGGCGGGGGCCAAGGAAAGCGAACAATGGCGCTAAGCGGCGCCGCTTCCTGCCAGCGCCGGGAGGAAAGGGCCTCAAGTTGCCTTTTCCG